TCTCTGGGGATTTCGGTCCATTTAGACCTCTTCTTTTTCTCACTCTGGCCTTTGACAAATTTTTCATATATTGTTTTTCGTTCCGTTGGAAAACAACAGCTTCGTTTAGACGGTTTTTCTTCCTCAGTCTGGGAGTCGAACCAGGCTGTCATCTTCTCCTTCTCAGGCGAGGAGTCGAACCAGGCTGTCACATTCTCTTCCTCTGTCGAGGAGTCGAACTCATCTATCCAGCTCTTTCGTCTTTATTTCTTAGGGTATTGGCTCCCTCTCTATGCCCTTTTCTTCCCTCGGGACCTTCTTTTGTTCGTTTGAGCCATTTCTTTATTCTCTTTCTGTTCTTCTTTCTTCTTCTGTCGTTCCTTTATCTTCTCTATCTTCTCCTCTAGTCTCTTCAACAACTTTTGTTCCTGTTTCTTCTTTTGTATCTTCCTTTGCTACTCCTTCTCTTCAGCCTTTCTCTTCTGTTTCTCCATCATCATTTTATATTTCTCCTCTCTCTTTCTCTGCTTCTCCTCCTCATTCTTCTTTTTAATTTCTTGCTTCTTTCTTCTGTTCTCCTCTTAAATTTGTTGTAATAGTTGCAAATCCCTTTAATACTGTTCCTCTTTTATTCTCTTATTTTCCTCTTTTATTCTCTTATTTTCCTCTTTCATTTGTTTTAGTCTCTGTAAGTTATCCCTTTACCGCTCCTTCTCCTTCCTCGCCTCTTCCATCTTCCTTATCTCTTCCTCATTCACTTTTGACGCAGATGTTTTCTTCTGATTCAATATTTTAGTTATAAGTTCCACCTGCTTCTTCCAGAGGTCGTGAGCTTCTTGCTCTTGCTCTAAGAACTCTTACAGGAACTTCCTGGCCGCATTCTCTTCTTGTGCCCTGTAGACCTACCCTGATAGACCTCGGTCTGCCGGCCTGTAGACCTACCCTGATAGACCTCGGTCTCCCGGCCTGTAGACCTAACCTGATAGACCTTAGTCTCCTGGCCTGTAGGTCTACCCTGATAGACCTCGGTCTCCCGGCCTGTAGACCTACCCTGATAGACCTTGGTCTCCCGGCCTGTAGACCTACCCTGATAGACCTTGGTCTCCCGGCCTGTAGACCTACCCTGATAGACCTTGGTCTGCCGGCCTGTAGACCTACCCTGATAGACCTTGGTCTCCCGGCCTGTAGACCTACCCTGATAGACCTTGGTCTCCCGGCCTGTAGACCTACCCTGATAGACCTTGGTCTCCCGGCCTGTAGACCTACCCTGATAGACCTCGGTCTCCCGGCCTGTAGACCTAACCTGATAAACCTTGGTCTCCCGCTCTGTAGACTTACCCTGATAGACCTTGGTCTCCTGCTCTGTAGACTTACCCTGATAGACCTTGGTCTCCCGCTCTGTAGACTTACCCTGATAGACCTTGGTCTCCTGGCCTGTAGGTCTACTCTGGCAGGCCGCGGTCTCTATGCCACTGTTCAGAGCCATCTTCCTAAGAGCTCAAGGTCTATTCCGGTAGATCTTCGTAGTTTCTTTACCTCTTAGCTTCACAATCTTAACATAAACATTGTAGTGTCCTCTGTTGCCCTCTACAGTGTGTACAAGAACAGTCGACCGGATTCAACAGATTTTATCCGCTCTTGTTTCTCATGTCTCTACACTGTTTAGAAGAGCATAGAGCCGAGCATAGAGCCGGATATTGCAGCTTTTCTCCGCCTGTCTTCTGCTCGGGTCGACAGGGACCACAAGGATATTGAAATGAATGAAATTATCGGGGTGGATAAGGACATTGAGGTGGATACTAGCCGTCCTCAGTCGCCTCCTTACGATTAAATTTTGGTATCTTCTCATTTTGGTACATGCCATATGTCTCCTGCTTCCTCTACCTCTACTCTATCATCGTCCGCTCTATCTACTGTATGTCCATGTAATATTAATTTGTGACTATTGCCTCTAGTGGGCGCGTATCGGCTCCTTCGTGGAAAACAGGAGATATTTGTCACTGGGTTTCGTTTCTGGATGTGAGGTATTTTAATGTTTAAATTATATTTTATATCAATTATGTACAAAATTTGAGTGACCTTGGAATGTTATTATATATGGAGTGGGTGTGAGAGTTTGTGTGTAGATTAGTACTTATCATGATGTACTCACTCATTTGTACTCACCCACATCGGCCGGCCGAGCAGACAGCACGCTGGACTTGTGATCCTGTGGTCCCGGGTTCGATCCCGGGCGCCGGCGAGAAACAATGGGCAGAGTTTCTTTCACCCTATGCCCCTGTTACCTAGCAGTAAAATAGGTACCTGGGTGTTAGTCAGCTGTCACGGGCTGCTTCTTGGGGGTGGAGGCCTGGTCGAGGACCGGGTCGCGGGGACACTAAAAAAGCCCCGAAATCATCTCAAGATAACCAAGATAACCCAGATGTACTCACCTAGAGTGACGACGACTACGGGCTCACCATAGCCCGTGCTACTTGGAACTTTTTGTTCCAGGTAGCGAATCTTAAACAACAACAACAAACTCGCCTAGATATATTATACCTCTCATATAGTATACCTCTTCTCCCCACTTCCGCCTGTGCTGGTATAATTCTTATTTTGCGTTTTGAGTCATGTGTTTAAACACACATTTACAGTTAACTTGGTGAAGCAGGTTTGGCCTCGTGCCGCCGCCTCGTTGAGCACTGTTCCAACATGACAAAGTAATCACAAGAATGTCACTTTGTAACCATTTAGTCTTATTTATTATTTTCTTCCAATCCTCAACTATGGACATGATTAGATTTCTACGGTTTAATGACCGTCGAGAGGAGGGACCTGCTGCATGGGTAACAGCTTCTCCTCTGTATCAACCTACCGAGGCTTTGCGCCCTGGAGAGGCGACTCCATAGTCTCCTGAGACTGATGAATGCCTACTACTACTTCTATATACAGAGAGAGAGAGAGAGAGAGAGAGAGAGAGAGAGAGAGAGAGAGAGAGAGAGAGAGAGAGAGAGAGAGAGAGAGAGAGAGAGAGAGACATCGGAAGCAATCAACATATTACAGAATATTCTGAGTGACAGATATACATGTTTCTTAGTGTTTGCAGCAGTCAAGTACACATCGTTTTCCTGGGGGTCATTAGCCAGTTCCTTCGAGTAGTCTGACTGTTTACTGGAGACTTGGGCGTCACTCCAGCACGTCAGAACGTTTAGAAATAGCTCGCGTAGTTATGGTTGGTATTGTGGTGAGGTTGGTCGTGTGTAGTGAAGATGGTTGCAGTGTGTAGTGAAGATGGTTGCAGTGTGTAGTGAAGATGGTTGCAGTGTGTAGTGAAGATGGTTGCAGTGTGTAGTGAAGATGGTTGCAGTGTGTAGTGAAGATGGTTGCAGTGTGTAGTGAAGATGGTTGCAGTGTGTAGTGAAGATGGTTGCAGTGTGTAGTGAAGATGGTTGCAGTGTGTAGTGAAGATGGTTGCAGTGTGTAGTGAAGATGGTTGCAGTGTGTAGTGAAGATGGTTGCAGTGTGTAGTGAAGATGGTTGCAGTGTGTAGTGAAGATGGTTGCAGTGTGTAGTGAAGATGGTTGCAGTGTGTAGTGAAGATGGTTGCAGTGTGTAGTGAAGATGGTTGCAGTGTGTAGTGAAGATGGTTGCAGTGTGTAGTGAAGATGGTTGCAGTGTGTAGTGAAGATGGTTGCAGTGTGTAGTGAAGATGGTTACAGTGTGTAGTGAAGATGGTTACAGTGTGTAGTGAAGATGGTTACAGTGTGTAGTGAAGATGGTTACAGTGTGTAGTGAAGATGGTTACAGTGTGTAGTGAAGATGGTTACAGTGTGTAGTGAAGATGGTTACAGTGTGTAGTGAAGATGGTTACAGTGTGTAGTGAAGATGGTTACAGTGTGTAGTGAAGATGGTTACAGTGTGTAGTGAAGATGGTTACAGTGTGTAGTGAAGATGGTTACAGTGTGTAGTGAAGATGGTTACAGTGTGTAGTGAAGATCTGTCTGAAGATGGTTACAGGGTGTAGTGAAGATGGTTACAGGGTGTAGTGAAGATGGTTACAGGGTGTAGTGAAGATGGTTACAGTGTGTAGTGAAGATGGTTACAGTGTGTAGTGAAGATGGTTACAGTGTGTAGTGAAGATGGTTACAGGGTGTAGTGAAGATGTGACCTCCTCCTCCACTCGCCCTCGCTACCTGGAACATAAAGTTCCAAGTAGCACGGGCTATGGTGAGCCCGTAGTGCTCAGCACAACCCTGGTATCATATGAAGGAGTATAAATCATGTCTCACGAAGCAAAACCTTAAAACAACGACACTCACAGTCCGCTCAAGACAAAACCGCTACTTTACCATATCTTGAGGTTATCTTGAGATGATTTCGGGGCTTTAGTGTCCCCGCGGCCCGGTCCTCGACCAGGCCTCCACCCCCAGGAAGCAGCCCGTGACAGCTGACTAACACCCAGGTACCTATTTTACTGCTAGGTAACAGGGGGCATAGGGTGAAAGAAACTCTGCCCATTGTTTCTCGCCGGCGCCCAGGATCGAACCCGGGACCACAGGATCACTAGACCAGTGTGCTGTCCGCTCGGCCGACCGGCTCCGACCATACCTTGAGGAGCTTCCGGGGCTTAGCGTCCCCGCGGCCCGGTCGTCGACCAGGCCTCCAGGTTGCTGGACTGATCAACCAGGCTGTTGGACGCGGCTGCTCGCAGCCTGACGTATGAGTCACAGCCTGGTTGATCAATGACAACAAAAAATAGGTAAACCCTAAAATATAAACCTGAACGCTAACCTCTGAAAGTAGAGGCAATGTGAGGGCTTAAACCCACGTAAAAAGTCCCAGACGGGATCGTTCAGCTCCTTAATGTTGAGAGCGCGCGCATCTGTCGCCGCGCGCGTTCGTGTTGGGAACAATACTAGCCGGATAGTTGTGGATTATGACGTCATCGGCGATCACGAACGCCTCCCCGCCGCTCATAAGGGTCATCAAGTGCTCTATTACACGGTAAAAATCTCCCTTACGGCATTGATGGATATGATTCATCTGGTGACGAAAGGTGGTGGTGGGCTGAGGTGGGCTGAGGTGGGCTGAGGTGGGCTGGGGGTCCCTAGGAACACTAGGGGTGGGCTGGGGGTCCCTGGGAACACCAGGGGTGGGCTGAGGTGGGCTGGCCGCCCCCAGGAACACCAGGGGTGGGCTGGGTGTCGCCTAGGAACACCAGGGGTGGGCTGGCCGCTCCCAGGAACACCAGGGGTGGGCTGGCCGCTCCCAGGAACACCAGGGGTGGGCTGGTCGCCCCCAGGAACACCAGGGGTGGGCTGGCCGCCCCCAGGAACACCAGGGGTGGGCTGGCCGCCCCCAGGAACACCAGGGGTGGGCTGGCCGCCCCCAGGAACACCAGGGGTGGGCTGGCCGCCCCCAGGAACACCAGGGGTGGGCTGGCCGCCCCCAGGAACACCAGGGGTGGGCTGGCCGCCCCCAGGAACACCAGGGGTGGGCTGGCCGCCCCAAAAAACTGCTTGCAAGCCGTGTCACAGAAAACGGGCTTTATAGCGGTGTATCATAAGGACAGAATTAGCTAACTCAATCACATAAAAGACACAAATAACACCTTTATCTTCCCCCTTAATCCAAATGAAGCAGTCGGGGTAAGAAAGAGACAAACCACATCATCTCACAAAGTCAGTAGTCCTTTGTGCTCAGCCAGTAATCTGACCCTAATGGCCCCGCGAGGCTTAACGCCGTGATTCCCTACTAACGAGGTCCAAATAGGCCATTAACTAACAATTCCTAAATTGCAACCGACAATAGTTGACTCCCAGGTAACTATTTACTGCAAGGTGAACAGAGGTATCAGGTGTAAGGAAACTTAACCAAATGTCTCGTCACGCCTGAGAATCAAACTCGGGTCCAGTCACTTGAGCCGCTTGGGCTAACCAATGGGTGGAAATGTGAGCATTAAACGGTTAACGACACATATATGCATGGGGTGGGTGATGGCACTAATATGATGATGTTGTTAAAGATTCGCTACCTGGAACATAAAGTTCTAGGTAGCACGGGCTATGGTGAGCCCATAGGCCCTTACTCTAATATGATGGTCGTTAACACTACTCAGGTCCTAGGCCAGGGGCCAGATTCACGAAGTAGTTACGCATGCACTTACGAACCTGGGGTCAGATTCACGAAGCAGTTACGCAAGCACTTACGAACCTGGGGTCAGATTCACGAAGCAGTTACGCAAGCACTTACGAACCTGGGGCCAGATTCACGAAGCAGTTACGCAAGCACTTACGAACCTGGGGGCCGGATTCACGTCGAAGCAGTTACGCAAGCACTTACGAACCTGGGGGCCAGATTCAGGAAGCAGTTACGGAAGCACTTACGAACCTGGGATCAGATTCACGAAGCAGTTACGCAAGCACTTACGAACCTGGGGCCAAATTCACGAAGTAGTTACGCAAGCACTTACGAACCTGTACATCTTTCCTCAATCTTTGACGGCTTTGGTTACATTTATTAAACAGTTTACAAGCATGAAAACTTGCCAATCAACTGTTGTTATTGTTATAAACAGCCTCCTGGTGCTTCGGAGCTCATTAACTGTTTAATAATTGCAAACAAAGCCGCCAAAGATTGAGAAAAGATGTACAGGTTCGTAAGTGCTTGCGTAACTGCTTCGTGAAGTTGGCCGCTGGAGTGTGAGAGGTCTTAAGCAAGGGTCGTCCCGAAATCATACAAATCGGATGGTTTTTGTCTTGAGGGGGTACTATGTCAGGTCGTTTAAACGAAGATGGCGTTGTATCAATGTGTAGAGTGGTGCTGCTGGAGGAGCTGGCGATCTCTGATATACAGGACGTCCCTATACCCAGGGGGAAAGACTCAGCGAAAAGACTGGAATACTGTGTCTGCTAAAAGTGCTGAGACTGCGGACTCAGTTCAGCAAAAGGCTGGACTAAGAACCGCCTGACTTCTACATCACATTAACTGGCATTAATCTTTGTAAAAACACTTACATTTAATAAACATCAACGACATTTTCAGATTATCTCACCCGCACAAGATAATAATCTTGTGCGGGTGAGATAATATGATAATCTGTCATAATCTTATGTATACAGACACGCGGTCATTCACAACCCGAGTGAATAAAATATAAATAAACCACATATACTCTTATATGTGGTTTACATATAAGACTACATATACAAGGACACATTCCCCAAATTGGTTCTTGTCAAGCTTGCGGCGGATGATCCCAAGAATACAAATCTAACTGCATTATCCGCCATTCATCTCCGGGTCCATATATAATGAGGCGAACCCACACGCAAAAAAACAAATCTTTGTGTTTCCGTGTGGGTGGCCCGTGGGGTCATTTACCAGTGGAGACGCGACGGTGGTGACTGATGGCTCCTGGAGACGTCTTGGCCAGAGACTTTCACTCCCAGAGATCTCCTGCATCTGCCACACACGCCGCTGGCCACCCAGGGTCATCGTCCTGCAAGGTCACCCTCATCCGAGGTCATCCAAGGTGTATAAGACCCAACTATCACGTAAGATCATGAACGAAACTCTAGAGATGTTATTGATGGTCGAGCCTGGCATCTCGTCGCAGCTTCCACTCTGGCGTGCACAAACTCTCCTGATCATCTGTACATCTCGCATCGTGGGGGTGTATCTGTTCTCGTGGCCATATATACACATCGACTTCAATTTATCAAAGCGTCCCATTGCCTTGAGTCATTTGCATTAGTCTCCCCTCCTAAAAAAACAGAAGACGAGACTCCAATACATAGTATTGGGAGAGTGTGGTGGCTACAACACGAGTCTTTGTAAGCAGGATTAAATCCTGTCATAAATTGCTACGAGGAAACCCGATGGGTTACTGTGATTACCGTTGATAGAGCGACGGTCTCCCATATCCAACGTCGGATGTTCGAGCCTCCTAATGCCTAAGGCGAATTAAATGTTAAACAATAAACATATATAATGTATATTATATATATATATATATATATATATATATATATATATATATATATATATATATATATATATATATATATATATATATATATATATATATATATATATATATATATATATATATATATATATATATATATATATATATATATATATATATATATATCTTAACTCTGTAGTAGCAGCCGAAGTGTAGAATGAGCAAGTCTGTGTGCTAAACTTTTGCTTAATGCAATTTGGATGCAAATGACCATTCGTTGTGAGCAATTTGGCAGAGGCAGCTCGTCCTTTGTGTGGTAATACATGATGTATGCCTCACTTGGTTCCCTCCATGTATTCTCCCCAAGTCCTTTCTTCCCTCCATCCCTGCCTTCATACTTCCTTCTCCATTTCTTTATCTCTTCTGACATATTCCTATTTCTCACACACTTTTTTTTTATCGTTTTCTCCATTCCCACTTCCTCTTTAAACTCCCTCCTTCCCTCCCTCCCTTCTCTCTCTCTCTCTCTCTCTCTCTCTCTCTCTCTCTCTCTCTCTCTCTCTCTCTCTCTCTCTCTCTCTCTCTCTAACCAAGCTATACTCATAGATGTTGAATATATTATTTGTTCTATGTGGCACAGGGCCTGGAGACGCTCTCCAGTTGCCTGGAGGCGTCGAGACTGTGAACTCAACATTGGAGTTATGTGAGCAACGTTCTTGTACTCTGTGGCACGTCCTTGTACTCTGTGGCACGTTCTTGTACTCTGTGGCACGTTCTTGTACTCTGTGGCACGTCCTTGTACTCTGTGGCACGTCCTTGTATTCTGTGGCACGTCCTTGTACTCTGTGGCACGTCCTTGTACTCTGTGGCACGTCCTTGTACTCTGTGGCACGTCCTTGTACTCTGTGGCACGTTCTTGTACTCTGTGGCACGTCCTTGTACTCTGTGGCACGTCCTTGTACTCTGTGGCACGTCCTTGTACTCTGTGGCACGTCCTTGTACTCTGTGGCACGTCCTTGTACTCTGTGGCACGTCCTTGTACTCTGTGGCACGTCCTTGTACTCTGTGGCACGTCCTTGTACTCTGTGGCACGTTCTTGTACTCTGTGGCACGTCCTTGTACTCTGTGGCACGTTCTTGTACTCTGTGGCACGTCCTTGTACTCTGTGGCACGTCCTTGTACTCTGTGGCACGTTCTTGTACTCTGTGGCACGTTCTTGTACTCTGTAACATTAAATTATTTGTCATTTTTTCATCCAGCAGTTGTTACTCTTGACCTCTGACCGCTCTTTACAACTCTCCTTGCGTCCAGTCATTGGCACTCTCAGTGGTTACCTGTTCTCATGTCCTTTCTCATTCCCCTTCCGTCGCAACCCCTGCTCCCACCCCTCCTGACCCCCTCCCATCACTCCCTCACCCCTCCCATCACTCCCACACCCCTCCCATCCCTCCCACACCCCTTCCATCACTCCCACACCCCTTCCATACATCCCTCACCCCTTCCATTCCTCTCTCCCCTCAGCAATATCCGGTCATGACCAACGCTTTCCCCCCCCACCCCACTTACACTCCTCATCCCCACAATTTGCCCCCATGTATCTCCCCTTCCGTATCTTTCACATCTCTATCCCTTCTCCGCTGCATTCCCCCCTCCCCCCTTCCCTGTTACCCCCCCCCTCCCAGCAGGAGACAAAGCCTGGGGGGCCTGAGTATTTATGGTTGCATTGTCACATTAGCGTCACCCATTGCAGAAGGGCGGCCTGCATTGTGGGGAGGGGCGGCCTGCATTGTAGTGAGGGGCGGCCTGCATTGTAGTGAGGGGCGGCCTGCATTGTAGTGAGGGGCGGCCTGCATTGTAGTGAGGGGCGGCCTGCGGTGTAGTGAGGGGCGGTCTGCATTGTAGTGAGGGGCGGCCTGCATTGTAGTGAGGGGCGGCCTGCATTGTAGTGAGAGGCGGCCTGCATTGTGGGGAGGGGCGGCCTGCATTGTGGGGAGGGGCGGCCTGCACTGTGTTAAAGGAACAGACATCGGAGGTGAAAGGTTAGGGTGGGAGTTGCCTAAAGATTGATAGTAAGGATCAGACGGGCAGGGATTAGGGAGGATAAGGGTAAGGATATAAGGGCAGGAAATATACATATAATTTCCTGCCCCTATATCCTGCCTATATCCAAAGCAAAAGGGGAACATGGTATAGGGTGAATCATGGTGCCATGGAGGGGGAGATGTGAGGGAGGGAGTGCCAGAGGAGGGGGTTTGAGGGAAGTAGGGAGGGGTAGGGGCAGATTACAATTTGTACCCAATTTGTACCCAATTTGTCCCAATTTATATCCAATTTGTACCCAAATTGTCCCAATTTGTACCGAATTTGTCTCCAATTTGACCCAATTTGTACCCAATTTTATTCAATTTGTACCCAATTTGTCCCAATTTTATCCCAATTTGTCTCCAATTTGCCCCAATTTGTACAAAATTTTACCCAATTTGTACCCAATTTGTCCCAATTTATACCAATTTGTACCAATTTGTCCCAATTTATATTCAATTTGTACCCAATTTTACGCAATTAGTCCCAATTTGTACCCAATTTGTCCCAATTTGTACCCAATTTGTCCCAATTTGTACACAATTTGTCCCAATTTGTACCCAATTTGTCCCTATTTGTACCCAATTTGTCCCAATTTGTACCCAATTTGTCCCAATTTGTACCCAATTTGTCCCAAGTTTATCCCAATTTGTACCCAATTTGTCCCTATTTGCCCCAATTTGTACCCAATTTTACCCTATTTGTACCTGATGCGGCGTGTAAAGCATCTGAACTAGTCCCAGGAGGCAGGGGGTAGTGGGGGGAGATGTGGGGGGGGGGGTGATGGGATAAAGGGGGGAGGCAGATGCCAACAATGCATTCAAATCTCCATCTGTGCATCTGTGATGCACTGCAGGTGACGTCAGTGTGGGGAGCGTCCGGATGACTGAAGGAGCGGCCGGATGACTGAGGAAGCGGCCGGATGACTGAGGAAGCGGCCGGATGACTGAGACAGCAGCTCGATGACAGAGGAGCGGCCGGATGACTGAGGGAGCGTCCGGATGACTGAAGGAGCGGCCGGATGACTGAAGGAGCGGCCGGATGACTGAAGGAGCGGCCGGATGACAGAGGAAGCGGCCGGATGACTGAGACAGCAGCTCGATGACAGAGGAGCGGCCGGATGACTGAAGGAGCGGCCGGATGACGGGGGTTTTGGCCGGATGAGGCAGTGAGGGTGACTTCACCTACATATTACCTAAACATGTTATATATATGCACATGCAAACACTGAACAGCCGGGGTCCAAGAGCTGGAGCTCCCCCTTCCGGTAAGAACACGCAGGTAAGAACACGCAGGTAAGAACATGCAGGTAAGAACACGCAGGTAAGAACATGCAGGTAAGAACACGCAGGTAAGAACATGCAGGTAAGAACACGCAGGTAAGAACATGCAGGTAAGAACACGCAGGTAAGAACATGCAGGTAAGAACACGCAGGGAAGAACACGCAGGTAAGAACACGCAGGTAAGAACATGCAGGTAAGAACACGCAGGTAAGAACATGCAGGTAAGAACATGCAGGTAAGAACACGCAGGTAAGAACATGCAGGTAAGAACATGCAGGTAAGAACACGCAGGTAAGAACACGCAGGTAAGAACACGCAGGTAAGAACATGCAGGTAAGAACATGCAGGTAAGAACATGCAGGTAAGAACACGCAGGTAAGAACATGCAGGTAAGAACACGCAGGTAAGAACATGCAGGTAAGAACACGCAGGTAAGAACATGCAGGTAAGAACACGCAGGTAAGAACACGCAGGTAAGAACATGCAGGTAAGAACACGCAGGTAAGAACATGCAGGTAAGAACATGCAGGTAAGAACATGCAGGTAAGAACATGCAGGTAAGAACATGCAGGTAAGAACACGCAGGTAAGAACAACACACAACAACAGTTTAAAAGTATTTTAAGTCAATCTTATTCTTAAATTAAGCCTCTTTATTCTTCATTAATGATGAAGAATATTATTAATATTCATCAAGAATGATTAAGAATATTAACTAAATTGAGAGTTTAGGGAACATTTCACGCAAATAAAGTAATGTTTATTAATGTTTAAGTAATGTTTAGAGAGAGAGAGAGAGAGAGAGAGAGAGAGAGAGAGAGAGAGAGAGAGAGAGAGAGAGAGAGAGAGAGAGAGAGAGAGAGAGAGAGAGAGAGAGAGAGAGATGGGCGAGACATCAGTGGCAATTATCCCTATCTACATTACATCAACATCATCAGTCTGTACTCTACTCCTCCTGTTCCGTCTCTGTCCTTCGTTATCTTTATTATCTCCTCTGCCTCTCTCTCCCCTCTAATCGTCTTCTCCGCCGCTCCCCTCTTTATCGGGAATTGTGGCACTAATCGGTTATCAAAGGGGAGGATGACTGCAGTTAATGTTGATATTCGGTAGATTTCTCCATTATGGCAGACTCGTCACTAAGTCATCAGTCGCACCTAGTTTATAGCCAGATACACTGCAGTTGGACGTGTTGTGGCCAGATGCATTGCAGTTGGACGTGTTGTGGCCAGATGCATTGCAGTTGGACGTGTTGTGGCCAGATGCATTGCAGTTGGACGTGTTGTGGCCAGATGCATTGCAGTTGGATGTGTCGTGGCCAGATACACTGCAATTGGATGTGTTGCGGCCAGACACACTGCATTTAGACGTGTCGTGGCCAGTTACACTGCAGTTGGACGTGTTGTGGCCAGATACATTGCAGTTGGATGTGTTGTGGCCAGATACATTGCAGTTGGATGTGTTGTGGCCAGATACACTGCAGTTGGATGTGTTGTGGCCAGATACACTGCAGTTGGACGTGTTGTGGCCAGATACACTGCAGTTGGACGTGTTGTGGCCAGATGTACCATCTCAAATATAACCTATCATAAGAACACAGCCATTGCCGCCCAATTAGCGTGTAACAAGGATGAAACTGACTAAGACCTAGGTATGCCCATCTATGTTGTCAAGATTATATTGCTCCAAACACTCCAGTCTAATAGAAGAGAGATTACTGACTCCCAAATGCCTGAAAGCACTAGAATAGAAAGCTATGATTTGTTTAGAACCGAAATCTGTGTATGTTTATTAGCAGCACAAAACGTCGACTAGACTGTGCGACACAGTGGTTGCCAGGATCTGATTGGGTTACCGTTACCTGTGGCAGGTGGCTGCCGTTACCTGTGCCAGGTGGCTACCGTTACCTGTGGCAGGTGGCTACCGTTACCTGTGGCAGGTGGCTACCGTTACCTGTGGCAGGTGGCTACCGTTACCTGTGGCAGGTGGCTGCCGTTACCTGTGGCAGGTGGCTATCGTTACCTGTGGCAGGTGGCTGCCGTTACCTGTGGCAGGTGGCTACCGTTACCTGTGGCAGGTGGCTGCCGTTACCTGTGGCAGGTGGCTATCGTTACCTGTGGCAGGTGGCTACCGTTACCTGTGGCAGGTGGCTACCGTTACCTGTGGCAGGTGGCTACCGTTACCTGTGGCAGGTGGCTACCGTTACCTGTGGTAGGTGGCTACCGCTACCTGTGGCAGGTGGCTACCGTTACCTGTGGCAGGTGGCTACCGTTACCTGTGGCAGGTGGCTACCGTTACCTGTGGCAGGTGGCTACCGTTGCCTGTGGCAGGTGGCTACCGTTACCTGTGGCAGGTGGCTACCGTTACCTGTGGCAGGTGGCTACCGTTACCTGTGGCAGGTGGCTACCGTTACCTGTGGCAGGTGGCTACCATTACCTGTGACAGGTGGCTACCGTTACCTGTGACAGGTGGCTACCATTACCTGTGGCAGGTGGCTACCGTAACCTGTGGCAGGTGGCTACCGTTACCTGTGGCAGGTGGCTACCATTACCTGTGGCAGGTGGCTACCGTTACCTGTGACAGGTGGCTACCGTTACCTGTGGCAGGTGGCTACCGTTACCTGTGGCAGGTGGCTACCATTACCTGTGGCAGGTGGCTACCGTTACCTGTGGCAGGTGGCTACCGTTACCTGTGGCAGGTGGCTACCGTTACCTGTGGCAGGTGGCTACCATTACCTGTGGCAGGTGGCTACCGTTACCTGTGACAGGTGGCTACAGGTGACGGATCTCCCAATCCTGAGCACTCCAGGTGCAACTATGTGAGCAGGAACTGCGGCATAATCTCCCACACTACATCACTGA